TTTCCCCACTACTAATATTTGTTCTGTATTTTTACAATTAATAAAATATGTACTGTTGCAATTTAGAAATGTCGGTCTCAACATTTTTATCTATGTTTAAACAATCAACTTTTCAACTTTCCCCTCCGCTGACGCTTAGATTATTAGCTTTACCCAGTCGACCTTTTTTCGAGGATCTGCTCCGAGGACACTTGAACCTTAAATTGGAATCTTTATGGTCGTGGAGCGGATTAAATCCGCTATGTAAGACCCATCTCTGATGCTTCCACGGTCGGATATGGTATCGTATTGGCTGATCGGGTAATTGCTTGGCAGTTCGCTGATGCAGCTGACCTTTGATGCCCTCGTCCTCAGTCGCTTCGCAACTGTTGCTACTCCCGGAGGGAGAGCGTAACACACAATCTCACTGCTTATGTCACCTTAACCATATAAGCCGACGGCAAGCAGCAGCTGTTGCTGGTGCTGTTGACGCTACGCGGTAAAATGCAACAGCTTATGTGCAGGACACAAATTTGCATAAAATAGCCCCAGTTGCATCCAGAATGCCCAAAACAACGTAGTACAAACAACAAATACACACACATACATTCATATGCAGGCACACACAGACACAATACACACACATATACTTATTTATTTCTGTTCGCTTTACCTTGCTTGGCTCGATTTCGAGGGAATTTCCGGCTCAACTGGAAAATTAATTTATATTAGAAAACGTTAGACTGAGTCCAAAGGGTTCAAATAAAATGTCTAGAAAATTGGTACGAATGGACACTGTATAGCCAACTGGTGCCACTCAAGCACTGGTTTTTCTCAAATCCTGGGCATATCTAAACAGTTCAAATCTGATTGCTTTTTCGCTCAGTTCTTCACTGTACAACGCAGTTACACTGATAGATTTTAAAAAATGACACTAGCATCGAAATTCCTCCTCGTCCTCTTCCCTTTTTCCTTCCCCACTTCGTCTTGTCCTATGTTCGATTACCACTAATGAGAAAAAAACAGACAACGAAGTTTTGATTACTTACAATAACATACTTTTTAATAAGCCATTTTTGGCAGTTGGCTTTGCAGAAATCATAACTGCATGAAAATTTATAATTCAGGAACGCATTGCATTATGTAGGGGATAATTTTTGTTTTAAATAATTTTTGAGATCACCCAGATGCAGTAATATTTGATCCTAAATGTTGAGATATTTGTTAGGATTAAGCAAAATTATAAACGCTATTTAAGTGTCGATATTAGCTAACTAGTGAAGTATATTAGAAATATTAAAAAGACTGAAGCCTACAGTATATGTAAAAATTAATGATTCAGCTAGGCCAGTAGGTTGCGTATCCCTACAACTGGACCTCGTCAGTAACACGAAAGTTTTGTCAAAAAGAGCCTAGTTGAACTGGGCTAAATCTGACTGGATTGTAACGAGCTGGGCTTGCAATATCCGAAATTTTGTACAGTAAGGTCTATGCACTGAGAACGTATTAGTAAGCGTTTGCATGCTTATTGCTGGAAGCGCTTTCTTTTGATGGAAAGGGCAGAAAAGACGGGCGAGGAGGGCAACAGATGGGATGATCAGTGGGTAAATAACTCACTTGCAGTTGATAGATTACGACAAATCCAGCGTTTCGTACTGGATGCCCAGAAAGGGTGGCTAGCCGTGGTGTGCATAATTTGGCCATCTCTCGGGAAATAGCTATTGTGACCGCAGCGAGTGCTGAATAGA